ACTGAGCGCACTGGGAGCAACCTTGAAGCAAATTAGTGACGTCCTCCTGCATGCCCGGCCAGAAAAAATCCAGCCAGAGCGTGGCAAGGGTTTTTTGCATCCCCAGATGTAAAAGGCGCTCGTGAGCGGCCCACACAGCCCTCCCACGCAGGGACGTGGGCATGACTAACTTGTAATTTTGGTCGCTTCCATCCCATCTCATGAGCAGGCCGTCCCTTGTGGCAAGGGAGACCGGGCCCTCAGGATCCGCTCACCTGTGGACCTCGCCGGCTTGACGGCGCATCCTAAGGAGGTAACCGTCCTCCACCTGGAGGCGGCCCCACTCGTCAGAGCTGAGGCCCAACAAAGCATCTTGCGCGGCGGGCACAGGGGGCATCAGAGGGGGATCCACCACGTACTCGGCCGCCGCCGAGTAAGGGTGTCCGACATGGCGTTTCCATGTCGGACACCCTTACGATAGACAACAGTAAACGAATAGTTCTGGAAGACTTCTAACCAGCGGGAGAGTTGACCTGACGGCTGATCAACCCAGAGAGCATACTGGAGAGCTGCGTGATCGGAGCAGATGGTAAAATGTCTACCGTACAGGTACGGTCTAAGAAAACTATAGCCAACAGCTCTTGATGAGTGACGCAGTATCGTTGCTCAGCGGGCGACAACACCCTCCTGCCGTAGGCGACCACACGCTCCACGCCATTAATGACCTGAGACAATACCCCTCCTATGCCGGTATTGCTAGCGTCTGTGTCCAGGAGGAATGGCGCTGATAACTCAGGGGAGGGGCATTGACCAGGCCATTGCAAAGGGCGTCAAACGCGGCTTGTTCTGCTTTGCCCCAATGGAACTTTGCTCCCTTGGCCGTAAGAGCGTGGAGGGGCTTCGCGATGGACGCGAAGCCCGTGACAAAATGCCGATAGTAGGAGGCGAATCCTACAGAGCTACGCACATCCCCTACTGAAGTAGGGGTTGGCCATGAACGCATGCAGCTGGTTTTTGCGGGATCTGTGGCAATTCCTGATTGGCTGACAATGTGGCCGAGATACCGGACGTAGCTCCGCAGCAGATAATATTTCTGTGGTTTAAATTTGAGGTGCGCCGCGCGCATCTTCTCAAAGACGGTGCGCAGTTGTTCCAGGTGCTCTTCGAAAGTCCAGGCTAAAAATGACATCGTCTAAATAGATCAAGCAGGTCTCCCACTGGAGCCCAGCAGGCACCAGCTCCATGAGGTGCTGGAACGTCGCTGGGGCCGAGTGGAGACCCATAGGCAGCCGGTTGAATTCGAAGAGCTCCTATGGGGTGCAGAACGCCGTTTTAGGTTTTGAAGCGTCGTCCAGAGGTAATTGCCAGAATCCCGACAAAAGGTCGAGAGTAGAAAAGTAACGTGCGCCGGCCAGGGCATCAAGTGACTCGTCCATCCTGGGCAGGGGGTACGCATCGGCCATGGAAACCTTAGACGGCAGAAATCCACGCAAAACCGAAGGCTACCATCTTGTTTTTTTTAAAAAGGACGATCAGCGCCCCCCAAGGGCTGGTGGATGGGGAAATGATATCTGCTGCGAGCATATAATTAACGGCCACCCTAACGTGCTCCTTTTCAGTGCGGCTGAGATGGAATGGATTCTGCCGAATAGGAGCCGCGTTCCCCGTATTGATGTGATGACTAAGCAGGTCGGTGCACCCGATGTCAAAATTTCCCTTGCTAAAGACGTCCGAGAAGTCTCCGAGCAACGTGCGCAATTTACCCGTTGGGAGTCTGACAGATCAATGCAACCGGCGCACAGGGCATCAATCCACCCATCATCGAGGGCTGAATGCGGGCGGGGCACACGAACATCCCCTACGTGGCCCACCACCGAGTCCCCCAGGAGTGCCGGTGTCACATGAGCGAGCACCGTGCCTTGGGGGATGATGGTGGTACGCAACCCCGCATTAAGGACCTGGATGAAAGGTTCCCATTCCTCCAACCCATGCACGGCCGTGTTGGAGGGTCCCAACAAAACTCTGTCAGCAACCACGTCCGAATCGAGGGGTTTCCGCAAACGAAGGGGGACGAGCATTTGCGACCTGGGTGGAATATGGACCGTGCGCGACGCCAATGCCTTCACAGTTCCACAGGCCGTACGCAGCCGAGAGCGAGAGGGCAAGAAGGACATGCTCCGGCCCGAGGGGAGCTCGATATAACCCTGGCTGACCAGGATTTTGATAGGCATCTTGCCCAAAAAATCGGTGCCGAGCAGGCAAGGAACGGCGAGGGTTGATGAAACAAGAATAGGGCCGTTCAATTTGATATTGCCAATCTGAATTTGCGCGTCGATCTGTCCGACTATGCCCAACGAACCCCCGTTAGCGGCAAAACACGGAACATCAACTGGCCCCCACGAACGACAGATCTCGAGTATGATAAAGATGAGGTCCGAGATTATGGTTGTCGAGGCACCGGTGTCGACCAACATCCGGACCTCAACACCCTCTATGAAGCCAATTACAGCAGAGGAACCTGTAGCTGTGGCGACCACCCTGTGGGCCAACTGGGACCACTGACCCGGTCCGAGCGCCCAATCGTTACCACAATTACCCGGCTCCCCACCGCCCGATGCATGCCCGTCCCGAGAAAGGTGATGGTGTGAGTGTGTGGTGCGAGGGGGCTGAGAGTGTGAGGTGCCACGACTTGCCTGAGCATGACGCGGAGTCGAGGGCGATCGTTGCTCCTGGGTCCGTGGTCTGAGGTTGCCGCGAAGGGGAGCCCGGCAGCCAGATGACACGTGGCCCCGCAGGCCGCAGTTGTAGCAGATGACAGACGACCCGTCAGAGCGTGGAGTCATCTGTTCTTGCCGGCGCAGGTCCCTCCGAGGTCGGTGGTTGTTGGACCTCCAGCCACTCGCCAAGGATGTCGGCCGGGCCGGCGCAAGCGGCGATGGTAGACTCCCGCTGCAGCAAGAGGTGCGCATGGATGCACCGCACAGCTCGCAGGGAGCAGAAGTCGTCGTCATCAGCCGCCGGCGTGACAATGCGAAGCTCCCGAGCCAAGCTCAGGAACTTGGCTCGAGTCGATGCCCTCTTGGTCCATGCGAGGATAAGCGGCCCACGCCAAGGCCAGCAGCGCGCTGCGGAGGCGGGAGTCGGATGGCGGTCCATAGATTGCCTGCATCTGCCGGAGGGCGCTCTGTAGTGTAGACCGGTCCGCAGGTGGAATCGTGATGAACGCGACGAGGGCGTCATCGTCCAGTGTGACCGGGAGGGCGTGGAGCGCCTCTGCCTCCGACCAGCACCCAATCGCCGCCAGCAGGCGAAAAAATCTTGAGTGACGGCAGGCGTTGCTGTACGGGCTGCAACCGACCTCCCAGCAGCGCCGCGGGCCCCGTTATTGTTGTCGCGGCGTCGCTGGCGGCGGTCAAGATGTTGCCCTTGGATGGCAGTCGCTCCGATAATTACGAGGCGGCTGCTGCTGGCCACCGCCCGGGCAGGATGTGACGCACGTCCCATGGTGCACCGCGAGGCCGGCGGAAGCGGTACCCGCTGCGGCGGGAGATTAAAAATTATTTGGGGGGAGTTGGAGGTGCGATGGTGGCGGCGTCCGTTAGCCGCTGCGCTGCACTCTCCACCGGTACTGCCGCCTCCTCACGGTGAATCTCCCCCAGGATGGAGGCGGTGGCGCTAAGCAGCTCGGTGAGGCGATAGTGCGCCTCCCGCAGCGAGCGTGATGGTGGTGAGGCGGCGGGCAGCGGGATGGGCAACTGCGCGGCCGGCAGCGCCACTCCGTCGGCAGCTAGGGTCGCAGGGACCGCGGCCGCTGGCACATCGTCGTCGCTGTCTGGGATCTGGGTGCGTCCTCTTCTGCGTGTCTCCATGACCACTTCTGGCACCAAATGTAGTGGGTTCCCACGGAGACCGGAGACGTAGCTTTTAGAGGCAACACGTTTATTGCAATAAACATTACAATAACGTTATCGGTCACAAACACAAAGGGGTGATGGCCCCTTTACCCGCTACCTGGGGAGGTATGGCCTCCGGGCTTACGTTGCCCTATCACTGGGACCACGGGCTCTCAGTCCTCCGGCTAAGGGTGATCTAGGGGAGGCTATGCTGACCAGACCCGGGCCAGGGTCTCGACCACTGGCCCACGCTCAGCCCCGGACCTTAAAAGGACGTCGGGTCCCGGGGGTCCCCAGGATCCTAGCCTAGCTGGTCTTCAGTCTTCGTCTTCAGAGCACTGCCTCGAGCCGTCCTGAGGTCCGTCTTTTATATCCACCTCGGGGACTCTCCGCCCCCGGTACTGCCCCCTTTCTGGAACCTTCCACGGGGCTCTGGAATAACCCCCCAACCCCTCACCTGGGGTCGGGGGAACTCGGCATCTCAACGGTCCGGCTCTCTCTCCCAGGGTGGCACCCCATACAGACCCATGCCCGCAACTACAGGTAAGTGTACATAGGGCGGCGTGTGCTATGTATTTCCGACGCTACAGATGTATAACTCAGGGTGAGCAGTTATATCATTGGTCTTTTTTATACTTTTGTCACGACTCTGACGATGAAGTAGGAAGAAGAGCCACTTTTATTTATGTAGTGACTGTGATTGCCGGGCTTACGAAGCCACACCTGTGATCCAGCACTGCAGTGAGGGTTGGTGGATTGCATACAGATGTAGTTAAACTCCCTTCTCGTGGGCATCGATGAGGCGCCATTCCCTGGTTCGCCATGAAAGGCAGTCCAGCAAGTGGACGAATCGGCATCTTATTTTCTGCACGGGGATTGTTGCGTGTGGGTTTTCTCTGGGTGATCCGGTTTCATCCCACTTCCATAACACACTAATTGTCTGAAAACATTTCAAAATGAAAACCCCAACGTAGCAGGACCCTCCTGCACAAGAGTCCAGCGACTCTGGCTTTCCTGAATAAATAAAGCATTTCGTTCTCAAGCGCCGCCCCCCAAGCGAATTGCTCACACAGACACGGAACTGTCACGCAACACGCACGGGCCAGTCTACTCTGGCAGAGGGGAGGAGGGGGTTACTACATTAGTTTGCGTAGCAGCAACGGGCAAATGCACATCGACAGTAAACGCCTCTACCCCATAGTCAATGAACAACAATACTTACACGGGTTAGTTGTGATTAGTTTCCCGCTGTTCTCTCATGGAGAGGCTGCGAGAAAATATAATTCGTGGAGCTGACAACTTATTACGTACGACCTTAACCATTACAACAGCAACTGGTGCCGGTGAGACACAGCAGTGAACAGGGCCCAGAAAGGTACAGTATTTGTAACAGGCGAAGAGTCGACGCGTATGCAGGGATCTGTGGTGGGGAGTTGGGAGCGGGTTATATTTGAACAAGTCCTGGCCGTAGATCGACTCGGCCTTAAAAGAGTACCTGGTACAGTGTTAAACATCAACACTGTGGAAACAAAGGCGGCCGGACGTGGTGCTGGCCACCCAACCTCCTTGTGTGCCGTGCCAGTCATCATAGGCGCGAAGGGGACCTACCCAGCAGTCTATCAAGGCGTAGACGGGAGATCTGCGTCTCGTTCTCCCGACTCACTCCAGCTCTGTGGCTGTTGTGCTCAGTTTGCGTGATGGTTTCACCTTTGGCAATTGCGATTAGTGCAGAGTAATTCAACTCAGATGGCACCCAAGGTGCACGGTGTATCTCGGCATTCAACGTCAAGAATTCGTGTGGCATAGGGCACCCAGCTCCTTCTACCTCGCTGCACCTGACAGTATTCAGGGTGAAGCACCAGAACCCTCTGATTCACTCGAGTCACCGGCGGTCTGTCGCCTGCTTGTCGCTCTCCCATCGCTAGTGCCATTGCTGTTGTTCCTGTGAACTTAACCTTGCTGAGGACTCGGTCTGCCAGACACTGTTGTCTCATCCACATTGCTCAACCACTACACTGCAGGTCACAACACACTCACCCACTCACCACACTGTAGGTTACAACAACACACTCACCCACTCACCACATTACAGGGCATAACACACTCACCACACTACAGGTCACAACAACACTCACCCACTCACCACACTGCTGGTCACAACAACACACTCACCCACTCACCACACTGTAGGTTACAACAACACACTCACCACATTACAGGGCACAACACACTCACCCACTCACCACACTGCTGGTCACAACAATACACTCACCCACTCACCACACTGCAGGTCACAACAACACACTCACCCACTCACCACATTACAGGGCACAACACACTCACCCACTCACCACACTGCTGGTCAAAACAACACACTCACCCACTCACCACACTGCAGGTCACAACAACACTCACCCACTCACCACACTGCTGGTCACAACACACTCACCCACTCACCACACTGTAGGTTACAACACACTCACTCACTCACCACACTGCAGGTCACAACAACACACTCACCCACTCACCACACTGCAGGTCACAACACTCACCCACTCACCACACTGCAGGTCACAACAACAACACTCATCCACTAAGTCACCCACTCACCACTCTGCACTTTCTCCCTCGCACTGCTCCACTGTAAAAGTCCCTCGTCCCACCACCACCATCATCTCTTTCCCCAAGCTCTTACAACATCAACCATGGCTCAATTCAATAAACGTATTAGCGCTTGTTTATTCCTACTTCGATAGTGCTGTTTGTTGCGGACCGCTTGTCGTCTTTGGCTTTTAGATCTGTACAGCACCCTACGGTACTGTCGTCGGAAACAGCGGCCTCGAGGTTAAAAAAAAACCTTCAGCCTGGCAGCGGTAACAGCAGCAGCAGCGCTGCCAATGTGGCTGAAGGCGCCATGAGGCAGGGGCTGGGACCCTGCTGAGGGGAGAGGGGGGCGAGGAGAGGGAGGCGAAGAGGGGGAGGACGAGGAGGAGGGGAGGGAGACGAAGAGGAAGGGAGGGGAGTTGGAGCGATGGCGATGTTCGCGCTGCGCCTCGTCACCGTCGAGCCGCTGTTGTCGCGGCGTCCGCGTCCAGCGCTTGACGCGACGCGGAGCGCCTTCCGCGGCGGGGCCGCTGCGACGACAGCGCCCGTGCTACGCCTGTTCGGGTCCACGCCGGCCGGTAACTCACCAGCACACGACTCGCCACATTCACTACCTACTCACCACCACACGACTCGCCACATTCACTACCTACTCACCACCACACGACTCGCTACATTCACTACCTACTCACCACCACACGACTCGCCACATTCACTAACTACTCACCACCACACGACTCGCCACATTCACTAACTACTCACCACACTACTCGCTACATTCACTACCTACTCACCACCACACGACTCGCCACATTCACTACCTACTCACCACCACACGACTCGCTACATTCACTACCTACTCACCACCACACGACTCGCCACATTCACTAACTACTCACCACCACACGACTCGCCACATTCACTAACTACTCACCACACTACTCGCTACATTCACTACCTACTCACCACCACACGACTCGCCACATTCACTAACTACTCACCACACGACTCACTACATTCACTAACTACTCACCACCACACGACTCGCCACATTCACTACCTACTCACCACACGACTCGCTACATTCACTACCTACTCACCACCACACGACTCGCTACATTCACTACCTACTCACCACCACACGACTCGCTACATTCACTACCTACTCACCACCACACGACTCACTACATTCACTACCTACTCACCACCACACGACTCACTACATTCACTCCCTACTCACCACCACACGACTCGCCACATTCACTACCTACTCACCACCACACGACTCGCTACATTCACTACCTACTCACCACCACACGACTCACTACATTCACTACCTACTCACCAGCACACGACTCGCTACATTCACTAACTACTCACCAGCACACGACTCGCTACATTCACTACCTACTCACCAGCACACGACTCGCCACATTCACTAACTACTCACCACACGACTCGCCACATTCACTAACTACTCACCACACGACTCGCTACATTCACTACCTACTCACCACCACACGACTCGCCACATTCACTACCTACTCACCACCACACGACTCGCCACATTCACTACCAACTCACCACCACACGACTCGCTACATTCACTAACTACTCACCACCACACGACTCGCTACATTCACTACCTACTCACCACACTACTCGCTACATTCACTACCTACTCACCACACGACTCGCTACATTCACTACCTACTCACCAGCACACGACTCGCTACATTCACTAACTACTCACCAGCACACGACTCGCTACATTCACTACCTACTCACCAGCACACGACTCGCCACATTCACTAACTACTCACCACACGACTCGCCACATTCACTACCTACTCACCACCACACTACTCGCTACATTCAATAACTACTCACCAGCACACGACTCGCTACATTCACTACCTACTCACCAGCACACGACTCGCCACATTCACTAACTACTCACCACACGACTCGCCACATTCACTACCTACTCACCACCACACTACTCGCTACATTCACTACCTACTCACCACCACACGACTCGCTACATTCACTACCTACTCGCCACACGACTCGCTACATTCACTAACTACTCACCACCACACGACTCGCTACATTCATTACCTACTCACCACCGCACGACTCGCCACATTCACTAACTACTCACCACCACACGACTCGCTACATTCACTACCTACTCACCACACGACTCGCTACATTCACTACCTACCCACCACCACACGACTCGCCACATTCACTAACTACTCACCACCACACGACTCGCCACATTCACTAACTACTCACCACCACACGACTCGCTACATTCACTACCTACTCACCACCACACGACTCGCTACATTCACTACCTACTCACCACCACACGACTCGCCACATTCACTACCTACTCACCACACTACTCGCTACATTCACTACCTACTCACCACACGACTCGCTACATTCACTACCTACTCACCACCACACGACTCGCTACATTCACTACCTACTCACCACCACACTACTCGCTACATTCACTACCTACTCACCACCATACGACTCGCTACATTCACTACCTACTCACCACCACACGACTCGCTACATTCACTACCTACTCACCACACGACTCGCTACATTCACTACCTACTCACCACCACACGACTCGCTACATTCACTACTTACTCACCACACGACTCGCTACATTCACTACCTACTCACCACCACACGACTCGCTACATTCACTACCTACTCACCACCACACGACTCGCTACATTCACTACCTACTCACCACCACACGACTCGCTACATTCACTACCTACTCACCACCACACGACTCGCTACATTCACTACCTATTCACCAGACTACTCGCTACATTCACTACCTACTCACTACACGACTCGCTACATTCACTAACTACTCACCACCACACGACTCGCTACATTCACTACCTACTCACCACACGACTCGCTACATTAACTACCTACTCACCACACTACTCGCTACATTCACTACCTACTCACCACCACACGACTCGCTACATTCACTAACTACTCACCAGCACACGACTCGCTACATTCACTACCTACTCACCAGCACACGACTCGCCACATTCACTAACTACTCACCACACGACTCGCCACATTCACTACCTACTCACCACACGACTCGCTACATTCACTAACTACTCACCACCACACGACTCGCTACATTCACTACCTACTCACCACCACACGACTCGCTACATTCACTACCTACTCACCACCACACGACTCGCCACATTCACTACCTACTCACCACACGACTCGCTACATTCACTACCTACTCACCACACGACTCGCTACATTCACTACCTACTCACCACCACACGACTCGCCACATTCACTACCTACTCACCACACTACTCGCTACATTCACTACCTACTCACCACACTACTCGCTACATTCACTACCTACTCACCACACGACTCGCTACATTGACTACCTACTCACCACCACACGACTCGCTACATTCACTACCTACTCACCACCACACGACTCGCTACATTCACTACCTACTCACCACCACACTACTCGCTACATTCACTACCTACTCACCACCACACGACTCGCTACATTCACTACCTACTCACCACCACACGACTCGCTACATTCACTACCTACTCACCACCACACGACTCGCTACATTCACTACCTATTCACCACACTACTCGCTACATTCACTACCTACTCACCACCACACGACTCGCCACATTCACTACCTACTCACCACACTACTCGCTACATTCACTACCTACTCACCACACTACTCGCTACATTCACTACCTACTCACCACACGACTCGCTACATTGACTACCTACTCACCACCACACGACTCGCTACATTCACTACCTACTCACCACCACACGACTCGCTACATTCACTACCTACTCACCACCACACTACTCGCTACATTCACTACCTACTCACCACCACACGACTCGCTACATTCACTACCTACTCACCACCACACGACTCGCTACATTCACTACCTACTCACCACCACACGACTCGCTACATTCACTACCTATTCACCACACTACTCGCTACATTCACTACCTACTCACCACACGACTCGCTACATTCACTACCTACTCACCACACTACTCGCTACATTCACTACCTACTCACCACCACACGACTCGCTACATTCACTACTTACTCACCACCACACGACTCGCTACATTCACTAACTACTCACCACCACACGACTCGCTACATTCACTACCTACTCACCACACTACTCGCTACATTCACTACCTACTCACCACATTACTCGCTACATTCACTACCTACTCACCACACGACTCGCTACATTCACTACCTACTCACCACACTACTCGCTACATTCACTACCTACTCACCACACGACTCGCTACATTCACTACCTATTCACCACCACACGACTCGCTACATTCACTACCTACTCACCACCACACGACTCGCTACATTCACTAACTACTCACCACCACACGACTCGCTACATTCACTACCTACTCACCACACTACTCGCTACATTCACTACCTACTCACCACACTACTCGCTACATTCACTACCTACTCACCACACGACTCGCTACATTCACTACCTACTCACCACACGACTCGCTACATTCACTACCTACTCACCACACGACTCGCTACATTCACTACCTACTCACCACACTACTCGCTACATTCACTACCTACTCACCACACTACTCGCTACATTAACTACCTACTCACCACACGACTCGCTACATTCACTACCTACTCACCACACGACTCGCTACATTCACTACCTACTCACCACACGACTCGCTACATTCACTACCTACTCACCACACTACAGATACATTCCCTAACTACTCACCACACTACTTGATACATTTCCCAACTACTCACCACTACTTGATACGTTCAATACCTACTAACTACGCTGCTTTGTTACATTCACTACTTACCATCGACTCGCCAAACCACTTTCTACATTCACGACCTACTCACCACACCACACTAACATAACTCACCACACGAGCTCTCTGCACTGACTCACGCCACACCGACGAAATACAGTAGTATAGCAGTCACTACCACCAGCAACGATCTGTGGCTTTTGCAAGATGTATTTACCGTACTGTACTCTGCTGTATTATAAAAAAAACCCGTGCATAATATTTATTTGTCTTTGCATATTTCCCCACTGAAAAACGGCATTGAGCCCCAAACTCGTTTTTCAGAAGGTTCCTGCCAAGTTATCGCGGGCGATGTTGCTCTTGTTGTATGTGGTCCCAGTTGAGTAATATTGCAGACAAGTTAGTAGTGGGTTGTTTGGCCAACACCGGTTACACTGCGCGTTCTACTTTAGCTATGGGAGGACACCGTATAACCCGGAGATAAACCTACGCAGAGCAGGGGGAGATAACCGTCATACAAACTCCACACAGGAAAGTGCCCGAATTGGGAATTTAACCAGGGGCCTTTTTGCTGTGAGGCACTCGTGTTGCTACTGCGTCCCGGCATCCTGGGTCCGAGATGCCGCCGCAGCAGCAGCAGCATGGATGTTGTAACGCGTGTACTCCCACTCCCACCCCCGGCAGGGCAGAAGGCGTGCGTGCATCTGCACGGAGTGTTCCCCTACCTCTACGTGCCCTACGACGACTGTGGTGGTGGGCAGCAGCTCCCCGATGCGTTTCTCCGTCAATTCGCCTTCAGCATTGATCGAGCTCTCAACGTGGCCCTCGGGAACCCCTCCTCCTCGGAACAGCACGTCTTCAAGATCTCGCTGGTTTCTGGAAGGTGAGAATATTGTATTAGAGCATCCCTCCTAACCACGACTAACGTAGTGATGCCCACATGTGCAAAATATGTAGTTTTAAGACCGAAACAGGATGACTTTTTCACAATTCTGGCTATCGCCTGATGATGCTAGTTGTAATCATCAGTGACATGTTCTCGAATAGTAATGTCGGTTTATTCTCCAACACACAGGTATGCTGAATGAAGTAGTAACTAATTGGCACGTTTTGTTTACGTGATGAATTTTACTAATTGGCTGTGTCGGGTGGTGGCGGGTTTAACGACACATTTATATTTACGCGATTTAACCCAAAAAATACCTTCAATATATTATCTTCTCTTTCAAATCTTCTTCCCCTTTCTTTCATTGACCCCTGACCTTTCCTCTCGAATCTCCTTTTGTCTGGCTGTCATCCAATCCTCTCAAAACATAAATAATTAACTTTTCAGCCTCTTGCTCTCCTCCACCAGTTCCTTATCCCTCCTCTCTTACTCTTGTTTCCACATCCCTCAACCTCATTGTCACCTTTGACTCTTCCCTCAATTTTTTCACCCACATCTCCACTACTGCTCGCATCTGCCACTTTCATCTGTTCAACAACAGGAAAATTTGCCCTCATTTCAATGTCTGCCAACAAAGTCTTGGTTCATATTTTGATCTTCTACCGTCTGGTCTACTGTAATTATATTTTTCTTGGTCTGCCTGCCTCTGCCCTCACTCCCCTCCAACAAATTATAAATTCTTATGCACGAGTTATATTCAATCTCACCTTTAATTCTCACACTTCACCTCTCCTCTTTCAACTCCACTGTCTTTCCGTTTACTACACCCCCATCTTTTCAAATACTGACACCAGTATTTTATTGTTCTTTCAGTAAAGTCACGTAGATCGAAAAATAATAACAATAAAATAATAAAATAAAAATAAGTGAATACAAAATAATAAAATATCACGACGTTTCGATCGCAACACAAGCGGTCGTCATCAGGAACAGGGAGGTTAGCCTCTGAGGGCAAGCTATTTATAAATGTTAATGTAGGAGAGGGCCCTGACACCGGCAGTAGGTCTACACCAATCAAAGCATTGCACCTCGCTCCACACACCCACACTGCTGACGGTGGAGGTGGACAAGAAAACCCAAATCAAGTCTTGACCCAAAGTGGTTGATGACATCTTTCGAATGATTGCTGAGTTTAAAACCGTCATCTCGGTTGAAATTGTGTCTGTCTGTATATATGGATGGCTTCGTGAATTAATCTTTGTTGATAGCCAGTCAGCTTGCAAAGTACCATCGTCTTCGAGAAATAAATTTCACGTGAGCCAGCCGCTTTAAAGTAATGATCAGCCACGGCAGAAGTATTGGTCCTGCCGTGTTTCAGATCTGCCTTATGTTCATGAACACGGTCTGAGACATGTCGTTTGGTTTCCCCCATGTAACTGCTGCCGCAGATACAACTTAGTTTGTAGACGCCAGGATATTGCATGTTAGGAATCTTGTCCTTCACAAATGGGATCAGGTCAGGAATTTTATGCACTGTGTTAAATCAGACCTGAATCTTGTGTTTGTTCATTATTTTGGAAATCTTTTTGGTTATCTCTGCTATGTAAGGTAAGGTGATGGTTTTTATTTGATCTTCAGATGGATCCTTCCTCACGGTTGGGGTGATGGCTTTGCAGATTGTGTAGTCAGAATATCCATTCGCCTTTAGAGCCTGGTGTACTTGTTTGAGTTCACTGGTCAGGTGTTCATGGTCGGAGATACACTGAGCTCTATGGTGTAGCGTTTTGATGAGGTTTTTCTTCTGGGATGGATGGTGGTGGGAATCAGGTTTTAGGTAGGCGTCAGTATGGGTTACTTTCCTGTAGACAGAGTGGCTCATTGAGCCATCTGGTCTCTTTTTGATTAAGACATCCAAGAAGGGTAGCATGCCATCCTTTTCTACCTCCATGGTGAATTTGATTGCTGGGTGTATGGAATTGATGTGGTTGAGGAATTGTTCAAGAGCCGGTCGGCCATGTGGCCAGATGATAAACGTGTCATCCATGTACCTCTTCCACTAGAACGGACGTAGAGTGGATGCCTGGATGGCGTCCGTCTCAAATTTGTCCATTAAAATGTTGCCTTCAGTCTGTAGAATGTTCCATTCCAAGTGAAGTATGAGTTGGTGAGGCAGTGTCTCACCAAGGCTGGTACATCAGCATTCAGTCCTTGTTGGACCAAATCTTCAATTATTGCAATGGTATCGGGCACAGGAACTTTGGTGAACAGAGAAACTACATCGAACCTAATGAGAAAATCACCTGGGGACAGTGAGTTGTCTTTAATTGACGATACCAGGTGAGCTGAGTTAAGAACAGAAGAGGTGGTCTTCCCAGTGAATGGCTGCAAGGTCTCAGACAGATATTAGGCCAGTTTGTAGGTGGGTGAGCCAATGGTGGAGACAATGGGATGAAGGGGTGTGCCTTCTTTATGGATTTTTGGTAAGCCATATAGTCTGGGTGGTCTAGCAGCAGAAGGTTTTAAGGAAAACCGTTTGGTCTGTTCAATTAATGAGGCTGAATCAGTGATGATATTGTTCGTTTTTGTAATGAGGCAGTTGGTGGGATCTCTTTAAATTTTTGTGTAGCTACCATAATTAAGTATGTCCTGAATTTGTTATTGTACGCGTTTTTGTCCATGATGACCGTGGCATTGCCCTTGTCGGCTTAGGTTTGCAGAGATTTCGGATCTTGTCACACCTGCAGCGATGTCTCCCAAACCCTTAAGAGCTACATCAACCTGGGAAATGATGTCATCCACTGGTATGTGTTTGGGGGTGACTGCAAAGTTTAACCCTTTAGCTAATACCGACTTTAGACCATCGGAAATAGAGCTATTACTCAGATTAATAACAACCTTGTCAACGTCTAACTTTTTTAATGTGTGGATCTGGTTTCTTCTTGGAAAGGAGGTTGAACTTGGAAATCAGGTTATCTTTACATTTAGCTGACATTGTTGCGGCTGATGAGGCAGTCATGTTATATACATGTTCCCTATGTGATTTCTTGTGTCTTGTCTACATGATATAGTTCAGTAAGGAGCAGTCTAATTCTCTCTGAGATCAGGGCCAAGCTAGACCTCAACAAGATTCGTTTTGCATTGTGAGATGTGACGGCAGCAGAGGTCAGTGTAAATGAGATCGGTATTACCTTAGAGTCGCGGCATCTCTTCAGAAATGTGAGTGACTTGATCAGATGAGCTTTCTTGTCTCTGAGTTTGTTAAAAGATCTTATAAGACCGTGTTCGTGAACATAAGGCAGATCTGAAACACGGAAGGACCAATACTTCTGCCATGGCTTATCATTACTTTAATGCGGCTGGCTCACATGGAATTGATTTTTCTAAGACGATGGTACTTTGCAAGCCGACTGGCTATCAACAAAGATTCGTTCACTAAGCCATCCATATATACAGACACAGACACAATTTCAACCGAGACGACGGTTTTAAACTCAGCAATCATTGGACAGATGTCATCAACCACTTTGGGTCATGACTTGATTGTGTGTTCTTGTCCACCTCCACCGTCAGCAGTGTGGGTGTGTGGAGCAAGGTGCAATGCTTTGATTGGTGTAGACCTACTGCCGGTGTTGGGGCCCTCTCCTACATTAACATTAGCTGCCCTGCCCATCTCTAAACCGTTATAAACAGCTCTTTGATTGGTGTAGACCTACTGCCGGTGTCGGGGCCCTCTCCTACATTAACATTAGCTGCCCTGCCCATCTCTAAACCTTTATAAACAGCTTGCCCTCAGAGGCTAACCTCCCTGTTGCTGATGACGCCCGCTTGTGTTGCGATCGTAATGTCGTGATATTTTATTATTTTTAATTAACTTTATTTGCATTTTTATTGTATTATTTTATTGTTATAATTTTTCTATCTACGTGACTTTACCGAAAGAACCATAGAATATGAATTCCTGCAGTCACAAAAGTTTTAAGTCAAAACTGACACCAGTCTTTAAATCTCTTCATGGCATTGCCACACCTCATCTTGCCTCACCTTTTTCCATGACCCTCTCCTCTTCATTCCCAATATTTTCTCTATCTCTCTAAGTCCCTTCTCCCTGTGCCCAATCTCTTTTTTCAGTCCTTCTCCCTCATTGCATACCTCCACTGGAATCGGCATCCCTTGTACATTGAGCGGCCCCCCCTCTTTAATCTCCTTCCATTCCTCTCTTAAAGCCTCACCTGTTCGCCATTGACCATTATCTTCCTCTTCCCTCTCCTCGCCACTCCACTCTTTCCCATCCATCCCCTACCCTTTCATGATCCCTAAGTACCCCACTATCATTGTCACTCGCTCCTCAATCCTTGTACAGCCCTGCCATCTAAATCATGACATTCTGTCACCATTTTGTAAGCTGTGTCAAGCGCCTTGAGTGAAGGTGCTCTATAAATATAATTTAGATTTGAATTAAATAATATTGTAAAATTAAAATCAATCATTATGATGTGGATGCATTTGACCCTTTTTAAGTTTGGCAAGTCTTCATGCATATTATGGCCTTCCCTACATGATCGTGGCTTGTTGTAACATAACCTTGAATAATCTTAAACTTATATTAGTTTGAGAGCCTTAATGATAACTGGACAACTCTATCTAATGTTCTCTTAAAATCTAACATTCTATGTTTGATTTCCAGAGAGACTAAGAATATGAATCTGCCATAATAACTGTCAACTCTCCCTTAACGATAGGAATTTTGGCACTTTTCACAAATGGGTATGAAACGGTTGCATTTTTTATTTGACCATTAGTGCTTGCAACTCATTGAAGAAGCATATCTTCGCAGTCTGAAGACAGAATGGAGGAGAAAAAAATTAGGGCATAGTTGGATTCTGTGGCTTAAGAAGAAGAGAGGAGAACGCTAATCAATGACAGTGTTGTGGGAAGTAAATAGTGATGAAAAAATTATAAACTCTCCGCCATCATGGGAACGTAGAGTTTCCACCACTGGGGCTAAGTCAGTTGCTGTTGTATTCATCTGTGCAGTGTGCATTACGTGCACAAGTTTCTTCATTCAACAAACCGGCACAAGCGCAGCTTTGGGGCTGCTCCGTTCCTTATTCCCCGTGGTTGCGTTCGACGGTCTTTCCAGGAGTACAAGTCTACGTTGCTAACTATCGTGAGAGATGGGAGTGTTTATATTGAGAAATGACTTTCGTTAAATGTTATTAATCTGTTCATTCTCTGTGGTCAGGCCTTTTTATGGATTTCATGAAAAAGAAAGGCTTTTCATGAAGATCTATCTCTACAACCCCAGGATGGTGAAAAGGTAACGATTCTTCCCATTGATCTTCAAAACCTCACTTTATAGGATTCCTTTAGTTTTTTGAAGACTAGAATTTTGATAGCCTATGGCCGCCTTATTCTATACACCTGCGGAGGGCTTTTCGGCACTTCACGTATCGCCCACCACCCCCACTGATGTCCTCTTCTCCCCCCCCCAATGTGTGCAAATACTACTGACTATTGTATGTAGAGTGTGTAGACATATATATTCCTGCAAAACATTTTTGGTGGGGGGGAGGGATGGTCGACAATGTTTGGAAACCTGTTCGATCAACTTTTTACCCCCACATCTGGGGGGGGGGGGGAGGGGGGCATTTTCTATAACTCTTTGATTCAGGCCTTCGGAAAGGCTCTTATAATTTAGTTGACGGACAAACGGAACGCTGGGCTTTTGTAATAGAAGAGCCTTTTAGAATCCTACTGGGTGATTTACTCTGATCTGGAAAATGGCACCAGAAAATTCACCACATCACTTTAATGTGCACAGCTTGCACAAGAAGTTTACATTTATCTCCGTGGGAAGTGGTCGGGAGGAGAGGTGAGGGGTGGACGGAGGAGGGGAGGGTTGGAGAGGTCTCAGGGGGAGACTAAGGCAGGAGGATGACGGGAAAGGAGAGAATGGGTGTTTCGGCCTCGCTGTGCACTGCGTTGCACCACTATCCGAGTAGTTAACCTCGCATTCAATAAACCTTCAGAGCCAGGGTGAACATCCGACTCCAAACGTATTTAATGAATAGAATGAGGTAAAACTGATGGAAAAACATAGCACAAAATACAGCATCTGTTAATACTTGCAATATCGATACAATGAATTAACACAAGGAACATCATTACATTGCCTTAGATAACATGAAACTCAACAATAGGTCCTTGGATGGACCAGGCATCTACATTACAGTGAGGGAAAAAAGTATTTGATCCCCTGCTGATTTTGTACGTTTGCCCACTGACAAAGAAATGATCAGTCTATAATTTTAATGGTAGATTTATTTGAACAGTGAGAGACAGAATAACAACAAGAAAATCCAGAAAAACGCATGTCAAAAATGTTATAAATTTATTTGCATTTTAATGAGGCAAATAAGTATTTGACCCCCTCTCAATCAGAAAGATTTCTGGCTTCCAGGTGTCTTTTATACAAAACATGACTTAGTACTTGGTAGCAAAACCCTTGTTGGCAATCACAGAGGTCAGACGTTTCTTGTAGTTGGCCACCAGGTTTTCACACATCTCAGGAGGGATTTTGTCCCACTCCTCTTTGCAGATCTTCTCCAAGTCATTAAGGTTTCGAGGCTGACGTTTGGCAACTCGAACCTTCAGCTCCCTCCACAGATTGTCTATGGGATTAAGGTTTGGAGACTGGCTAGGCCACTCCAGAACCTTAATGTGCTTCTTCTTGAGCCACTCCTTTGTTGCCTTGGCCGTGTGTTTTGGGTCATTGTCATGCTGGAATACCCATCCACGACCCATTTTCAATGCCCTGGCTGAGGGAAGGAGGTTCTCATCTAAGATTTGACGGTACATGGCCCCGTCCATCGTCCCTTTGATGCGGTGAAGTTGTCCTGTCCCCTTAGCAGAAAAACACCCCCAAAGCATAATGTTTCCACCTCCATGTTTGACGTTGGGGATGGTGTTTTTGGGGTCATAGGCAGCATTCCTCCTCCTCCAAACATGGCGAGTTGAGTTGATGCCAAAGAGCTCCATTTTGGTCTCATCTGACCACAACACTTTCACCCAGTTGTCCTCTGAATCATTCAGATGTTCATTGGCAAACTTCAGATGGGCATGTATATGTGCTTTCTTGAGCAGGGGGACCTTGCGGGCACTGCAGGATTTCAGTCCTTCACGGCGTAGTGTGTTACCAATTGTTTTCTTGGTGACTATGGTCCCAGCTGCCTTGAGATCATTGACAAGATCCTCCCGTGTAGTTCTGGGTTGATTCCTCATTGTTCTCATGATCATTGCAACTCCACGAGGTGAGATCTTGCATGGAGCCCCAGGCCGAGGGAGATTGACAGTTCTTTTGTGTTTCTTCCATTTGCGAATAATCACACCAACTGTTGTCACCTTCTCACCAAGCTGCTTGGCAATGGTCTTGTAGCCCATTCCAGCCTTGTGTAGGTCTACAATCTTGTCCCTGACATCCTTGGAGAGCTCTTTGGTCTTGGCCGTGGTGGAGAGTTTGGAATCTGATTGATTGATTGCTTTTGGGGACAGGTATCTTTTATACAGGTAACTATCTGAGATTAGGAGCACTCCCTTTAAGAGGCTGCTCCTAATCTCAGCTCGTTACCTGTATAAAAGACACCTGGAAGCCAGAAATCTTTCTAATTGAGAGGGGGTCAAATACTTATTTGCCTCATTAAAATGCAAATCAATTTATAACATTTTTGACATGCGTTTTTCTGGATTTTGTTGTTATTTTGTCTCTCACTGTTCAAATTAACCTTCCATTAAAATTATAGACTGATCATTTCTTTGTCAGTGGGCAAACGTACAAAATCAGCAGGGGATCAAATACTTTTTTCCCTCACTGTAGCACTGAATAGCTATACAAAACAAAATGCTACTGTGTTAAATAAGGTCACATCGTGTAATCACCATACTGCAGCCTAAATGTACAGCGCTGCACATAACACTGAACTGTGGATGAGATACTTCTTCATCCTTGCTCTCAAGATCGCATTAAAGTTACATGGGTACAAGTCTGGCTTGACTTATCCAACTACAAATAACATTCACAATAATGCAAGTGGCAGGCTACGTTGTTAACTTGGCCTTATATTTAACATAACAATTTAACAGCATTATAAAGGCATTTACAGCATTATAACGGCAATCCTAACATTAACAGCATTCTCTTTGTTTTTTTCCGGTAAAGTCACGTAGGTAAATAAAAAAAAACAATTAAATCACGATGTTTCGGAGGCAACACAAGCTTCCGTCTTCAGGTGGAACAGTCACAGCAAGATCGCTGCATCAAGTGGGGAGCTCTGAGACCCTCGAGCTTATATACAGATTAAGGGGGGGGAGGAGCCAAGTAGGGGACATTGATGGGGTGCGGGGCTAAGTTAATCCGTCTTTCATGTTGAGGGTGCGGGGGATGCGGTGGGTCACTGCAAAAGATGGATTAACTTAGCCCCGCACCCCATTAATGTCCCCTACTTGGGTCCTCCCCCCCCCTTAACCTGTATATAAGCTCGAGGGTCTCAGAGCTCCCCACTTGATGCAGCGATCTTGCTGTGACTGTTCCACCTGAAGACGGAAGCTTGTGTTGCCTCCGAAACGTCGTGATTTAATTGTTTTATTTTATTTTACCTACGTGACTTTACCGAAAAAACCAAAGAGTATGAATCCTTGCAGTCACGAAAGCTTCAAATCTAGAATTAACAGCATTCCCAGTATTATAAGAACATAAACGAACTTACAGACAATGCTTCTTAAAGTCCCACAATGAACAGATGCACCTATATTCACTGAGATGCTATTTGTGCCTACATTTTGTACTCTGTGTAATGGCTGACACCCTTTCGCATGGCTTAGAGAATCTTAAATCGTTACTTCCTGGTCACGTGACCAAACTCAACACCATATCAGGAAATTCCTGTGTAAGCACACCCCCATACCTGCCGTGAGGCAGAACAATGGGAGCTTGGAAGTAAGCGAAAGTGATTAGAGCCAATTTGGGCGATGGGATTGGAGGTGATAGGAGGAGGTGGTGGGACGAGAGGGGGGGGGATATGGGATGGGAGGGTTCGCTAAGGGAGAAAGGGCAGGGGAGGGCTGTGTATTGGGCAGCTTGTATGCTGTCTGGCTTCTGGGCCTGTCTCTCATGTGAAGGGGGAATATTACATTGAGCAGTAAATACATTTTAAAATATCAAGTCGGTCAGTAGAGAAGCTTTAGGGGCTTATTTGCTATGCGTGCGCATGCCTGTGTATGTGCTTGTCAGTGTATACTCTTGTCAGTGTGTCTGTTAGAGGGCGGTGGTGCAGTGGTTAGTGCACTGCATTACAAACCCAGCGACCAGAGTTTGATTCCTGGTTGCTGAAGCAATCATGGGCCTCCTCTAGGTGGACTCAGCCTCAAATGAGTTTCTAGTGCGATGTGTAAACATCGCTGCTAGGGAGACAAATGTCGTCGGGCGTGGTGCTGGCTACCCGCCTCCTCGCATGGCGTTCCGGCCTTCATCGGTTCTACTTGCTAACAGCGTTTTGGTTTTCTGTCCATCTGTGCATTCATGTGTGTGTACGCAGTGGTCGAAATGTAAAAATACGTAATCTATTCATTCTACTGCCCGTGTTCACTGCCACTCATTAATTATTATGTTTGTAACGAACACAAATGTAACTTACAAGGACCTTGAGAGGCGCGGTTTCCCCTCTACAGAGACATCGCGGGATAGAAAAGAATACGAATTGTTCTGAAAATTTCTGGTTAACATGTTTGGTGTTCTGAGAAGTTCCGGTATGACACATTGTCTTCTGCTGGCACATTCTGACCACTGTGCATGTGTGTGTATGTGTGTTGGATGGGGAGCGGGGGCGTAGTGGTTAGTGCGCTGCGCTATGAACTCGGACTCCCGGGTTCAATTCCCGCTCACAGCCAACACCAGTAACGACTATCAGAACCGGTCCTGGGCCTCCACTAGGTCAACTCAACCTTGTGCGATGTGTAAAACATTGTCATTGGGGAGACAAAGGCAGCTGGGCATGGTGCTGGCCATCCACCCCTTCGTGTGATGTCCCGGGCTTCATAGGTGCTCGCTAACAGCACTACCCTAACAGTCTGTTGCAGGCTATACGAGGGATCTTTGTCTTGTTGTTTCTGTGTTTGGGAGTGGTGGCGCAGAGACGCAAGGTCGGTTCCTGCTCACGGCCACCAACACCAAGTGATGATTATACGAACCGGAACTGGACCTTCCCTAGGTCGACTCAGCCTCAAATTAGTACCTTGTGCAGTGTGTAAACATCGCCACTGGGG